AGTAAGTGGCAGAAATAAGACTTAGAACCTAGACACCCTGCTGACAGACCCATGATTTTAATTACCTCATTGCATTGTCTTATTTCTCCTTATATCCTTACTTCCCCTTCTCTTTATAGTTGCAGGAAGTTACTTGCCAGAAACCCATAAACATTACGAGGTAAAATTTCTATGGCTTCCTAATACTGCCATCTGGTGGTGCAAACAATTAAAGCAACCTCCAGCTTCCTGGCAAAGTTGCATGACAGGAAATGCTCACAGGCCTTTTTCCCGAGTACACCAGTACTGTCAAGCAATTGTGAATTTTGCTTGATCCTACTTTAAACCAAACACAAATACTGCCATCTGGTGGTGCAAACAATTAAAGCAACCTCCAGCTTCCTGGCAAAGTTGCATGACAGGAAATGCTCACAGGCCTTTTTCCGGAGTACACCAGTACTGTCAAGCAATTGTGAATTTTGCTTGATCCTACTTTAAACCAAACACAGAGCATATAAAAACAGAGAATAACAGAACAGCACAAACTCTGAGTGCCTGAAGAGACATAAATTTCTCTGTGTAAAATATTTAACTGATAATAGGAAACTCTCAACTATCTATTCTGTGATATAAATACTTAACAGATTTATGTGTTTGAAACCTTGTACCTGGTCTTATTCTACTTTGAGAAACTGGTTTCTCCTGGTATTCTTGCTCTGATGACTCATTCACTGTTTCTTTCTGCTGTTCAAATTCAGGATTCAAAAATGATGCAACATTACTTAGCAATTAGTAAACATTTACTGTTCTTTGAAAGAAAGAAAGAAGGGACTGCATGGAATACTTCGCTTTGTTGCTTCTCCATCTCTGGGCGTGCGATTTCCTAGGTATTCATTTGGCACCTCTATCTTCAGTTTGCTATCCACTATTAGGTATGTCTTACTACAAGTTCAGAAGTAATGTGAGAATAACATGCTCGACACTAAGTTAGAAAAAAAATCATATTGAAATCAAATAATTTTAGAACTGGAAGACACCTTGGAGTTTAATCTGAATGACACAACCTATTTGTGTTTTCATAGGGGAAAGATGGGAAATCTTGGAGGAAAAGAATCTCTGGTAAGTTAGAAAAAAAATCATATTGAAATCAAATAATTTTAGAACTGGAAGACACCTTGGAGTTTAATCTGAATCACACAACCTATTTGTGTTTTCATAGGGGAAAGATGGGAAATCTTGGAGGAAAAGAATCTCTGAATTCACTTTTGGTGGTGGGGGGCTCATCATAGCTCCCTGTAGCCTGCAAAAGCAAAGGTGGGGGTCAGGCTCTGGGCCTGAGCCTGGGACTTGGGCTCAGCTTTATTGACAGCTTTATCAATAATTCATTTTTGTCTTGGATCAGAGGCTCTCAGATGTTCTCAGCCACAACATCATGGCACACTGGTGCATTGAGTTTAGATCCTTAGGTGTACTGCAAGTAATATGTTACCAATAATTATAGTACCAATATTTGCAAATGTTTTTCCTTAAAGAATTTCAAAGTAAGAGAAAAGTTGCAAGTGCAGTACAAAGAACTCTCCCCCCAAACCCTGCAATCACTTGAGAGTAATTGCCAACCTGATGTCCCATCCTCTCAATACTCTAATTTGTATTTCCTACAAACGAGGTCATCCTCTTAGATACCCTCAACACAACCACCAAAAGCAGGAAATTAACACTGGTACATTACTACCATTTAATTCTCAGCCCTTATTCAAGTTTTGCCAAATGTTCCAATATTTTCCTTTGTAGAAAAATGATCCAGTTCAGAATCAAATAATGCTTTAGTTGTCATTTCCTTACTCTCCTTTACTCTAAAGCAGTTCCTCAGTCTGTCTTTGACTTTCATTATTTTGAGACTTAAAGTTTGCAGGCTAGTTATTTTGTAGACTGTCCATCAAGTTGTTTTTGTACAATGCTTCCTCATGTTTAGATTCAGATTATGCACTTCCGGAGAAATATCATGATGGGATGCTCTGTTTTTCTTCTTGTATCCCAATAAATGGTACAGTACACCATTTCATTTTGTTCTCCTGCCCTTTTTTTAAAAAAGATGACCGGTAAGGGGATCTCAATCCTTGACTTGGTGTTGTCAGCACTACACTCTCCCTAGTGAGCCACAGGCTGGCCCTCGTTCCATAACTGACAATCTTCATATTGATCATCTGATTAAAGTAGTGTCTGCCTGCAGTGTTGCCTTTGTAATTAACCAACATTCTGGGGGAGACACTTTGATACTATGTAAATATCCTATTCCTCATCAAAATTTCCATTTATCCATTTATTATTTTATAATATTTATTGTTTTATATGGTTTCCTGTCTTACCAATGGGTTAAAATTCATCACAATAATTATTCATTTTGATGCTCAGATTATCCCACATTTGGCCAATGTGGACCACTATAAGCTAGCTGTTGTGATCTGTTGACATATCCCCATCATTCTTGAATATTTTCTTGCTTTCTGGAACCAAAAAATTTTCCAAACTAATCTTGTATTTTTCCTGCTCCAGCCCTGCAATCAGTCATTTTTTCAAGGAGTTCTGGTTTATTTTGGTTGAGAATGGTATTTAGAAGCCAAGATCTGAGCACTAGCTAGAGGGTATACTCATAAGTATGTATATACATACACGTATACACATACTCTATATTGAAAACCATGAGGTGACACCAATGTTTCTAATGTTGGTCTATGACCATAGGGTCCATTTCGGTTTTCTCTCTTTTCATATCTGTAACTGCCCTCTCTGACAGTGAGAAACCTAGCTCTCCTCATCCTTAGTATGCTTTCTTATTTCATCAACCCCCCTTTATGCAACCCATCTCTGATTGTTGCTCCTGTCCCACCCCCTGCATGGATGGCTTCCTTACACCTCAGGCCACCCCTGCACCAGGTCTCTCCTCCGCATGGACACCTCCTCTCCTCCGCATGGACACCTCCTCACCTGCTCAGGCCTGATACCCCACTCTGAGCTACCAAGTCCCCCCACCTCCCTGGGCGCTGATGCCTACCTTTCTCTGATTTCGGCTTTAGGATCCAAATGTTGAGGAAAGGAAGGGAAGGGAAAGGGGAGAGAGAATAGAAAAGAATAGAAAGAGAATAGAAAAAGAACAGAAAGAATACAAATAATTTTAAAAAACAAATGATAGCAAATTCTCCTTCCCTCACTGATATTCTGATGTATCTTCTTTTCTACACTAGAATGTAAGCTCCATGAGATGGAGCCCGAGTCTGTCTTATTTACAATTGTATGCCTAGCACCTAGCATAGTTCCTGATACAAAGTAGATGTGTTTAAAACCTTTTGAATATGTAAATGAATGAATAGCATGAGGGGAAAAAAAAGCCTTACAGCTACTACGTTGGAGAATGTACATAACCTTCAACCAGACTTATCCAAACTGCAGCCTGAAATCTGACTGTGAGCCACATCTAGCACGGTGCATGGCAATGTGAGGGTATTCAGGAAATGCTTGTTGAGTGGATTGACCCAAGGGAGTATCTGACACATACATTTCATCTGCCATGTGTGTCATAATGGAAAAAAGCCTTACAGCTACTACGTTGGAGAATGTACATAACCTTCAACCAGACTTATCCAAACTGCAGCCTGAAATCTGACTGTGAGTCACATCTAGCACGGTGCATGGCAATGTGAGGGTATTCAGGAAATGCTTGTTGAGTGAATTGACCCAAGGGAGTATCTGACACATACATTTCATCTGCCATGTGTGTCATAATGGAAAAAAAGGTTGAGAACTATGGCATTAAATGACGAAATAAGCTTGCTAAATTTCCAAAGGACACTAGCTCAGTGAATGAGCTCGATGTTCAATTTGAACACAGCAAACACTTAACATTTAACAAATGTTTGTTAAATAAGTGAAGTCCAAATATTAGAGATAGAAATGGAGTTGGATAAAGTCAGACTAGGAAATCTGAGAAGGGAAAGGAAATTAAATAATTAAAATATGGGTTAAGACTGGCTGTGTGCAAACCCAGAAGGAAGAGATCTGTGGGTCCCAGTGGAGAAAACACACTACCAATAAAAGGAAGATGCTGAGGATCCACTCTGATGATAGCCTGACTCCCTTTACAGATTTAAGAATGGGTCCTCATTTCAAATTTTAGTGACATAATTAAAGTAACGTGTTAACACAACTCACCAGCTTCTGTTTACTTGTTACTACGCTTACTGCTTCTTAGGCATTAGTAGTGCTTTTCAAACTAAAATTACTTAATTGTCTCCTTCACAGAGGGGGAGTGTGAAAAACAGGTTCTACAGAATTTTAAGCTGAAATATTCCAGCTAGTTTCCATCAGTCTGAGAGATGCATTGTTCATCTGTTCAACGAGTATTGACTGCCTCCTCTGCAGCGCGAGGTCAGGGGCTGCCGGAGGTGGAGGTGCGATGCTGACAGGCAGACAGGATTCCTACCATTGCGGAGCTTGCAGCCTGCCAGGGGCCAGAGTTGTGGGGCATGGTGAAGGATAAAGAGACAGATTAAAGAGCTCTGACTCAGACTAGTTAACTCAGTCTAGGTTGGGGCTCCATAAGTGAGGCAAAATTGCTTAACTTTTCAAAAAATAAGATGTATAAGCAAAGATTCAAATAAAGTTATTAAGCTGATGGAGGTTGCTGGTGATTTAAATAATAGCTTTTAGAGCTTCAAAGTATATATGACTGATGTAGGCTGAGAAACTTTTCTCTGGATTTGAGACCAAAAATATTTGAAATACGTCCCTAAAACAAAAGGTAGAATTATTATTTTTATTAGTAATATGTCGATGCCGCAGTAAAAAACACACAAACAGAACAACGTGTATTATCAGGGCTGGGAGCACACATAAGCCTAGAAGCTAAGATTCAATGTTCATTTTTAGTTTCTAAAGTATTTTCAAGTTTGGATGTCAGGAGAAAGGAAAAAAGGTCCCCTGAGGCCACATGCAGAGGAAGAGCTGTAGAGACAGACTGACGACCATTCTGCTTCCTGCTTTTTATTTGATTTTATTCTTTGAAAAAAACAGATTTGAGAATTGCTGCTGTGCAGGCCAGCTGGTGCCACCATATGTGAACTTTGAAAAAATTCTGTATTTTCTGTCCCTTTGTGATTACGTGTGCTGCTGTACGGAGGCAAGGAAAACAAAGCCTAAAAGTAGGTTTTCCATGCTCCACAGCCACAACCCTTATCCCTGCCAGTTAAAGCACTGTCCCTTGAAAGTCAAATATAACCAGTCAGCTGACATTGATTGAGACTTTACTATGTGCCAGTCCTTGGGCAGGGTGCTCTCTCACAAGGTCGAGCTGGGTGGGAGTCTGGGATAAAGGATACAGCAAAAACTTGGGGATCCAACAGGGTTTACTGGGGATCCCATGCCCACCCACAGGACCTGATTTGAGCATTTTCATAGACCTTCTGAGTATTTTCCATATAGAAAATAGGAGAATTTTGCTTTTTGTTTCTTTCTCATTTTCATCAGTTCAAGTTTTTTCATGCATCCTAATAGCCATATATTTCATTTTCCACCCACCCAGACTCTTTGCTCCTTCCTATTCGTTCAGGGGAGAACTCATAAATGTCATTGGTCACAAATCCACTCTCCACGCTTGCCAGAGTCACAAACCCACTTTCTGATGGGTTCACAGCCATGTTGTCATAATCACAAGACATGTCATCAGGGGTGGCTTCTCCCGAACACACCCGGAATGAGATATTCTTCAGGTCTGGCCGGGTCTCAGCTAAGTCAGCTTCACTTTGTTTTCTTATGACATTGTAAACCTCTAGGTCCGGGCTGTTCCCTTGGTGAGGAGAGGGCCAGATGGTGTGTTGCTCCTTTGTGCTAGGGTCTGGCTGGTCCCGTTTTCTAGGAGGAAAGAAAACCAGGGCTGAGTTTTTTAGACCAGGTGATTGAAAATATCCCTGTGCTTCCTGATCAGGCAGGAGGAAGTCATCCTGAGCTCTCATTAAGCTGCACTTCTCACCTGCACAACTTTCAGGCCAGGCTTTGGGGTGTGGGGAAACAAACCAGGGCAGTGTTATGTTCAAAGTGATTGTATATCTGTCATTCACTGCTGCTGGAATGTAGGACAGGGTTATTATCCTGGGGTCCCCAGAGTCCCTGGCAGGTCCAGGGATAGAACAGGATGGGGGAAAAAATCACATTTAAAAAGACTTATCTCTAAGTGAAATTTAGCATGTCCTCCTATTATGAATGTAGGCAATAAACCAGAGTAGAATTTATAATATCTTTGACTTACTCATCAACAGAAATCATAGGTATTTTCACATCACATTGCAGTTATTATAGATGCCTTGAAATATTTTATACTCATCTCTACTTCAAAATTATAATTATGCCCATCACTAAATAAACATTAATAAAGAAGCACATGTATTGTTGTATCACATATTCATTTTTGAAAATATTTTGCTAGACTATATAATAGTATAATTGCTTCAATGTATTTTATTTTATTATAATTATACCCATCACTAAACAAAGAAGCATTAATAAAGAAGCACATGTATTACTGTATCACATACCCACTTTTGAAAATATTTTGATAGATTATATAACATTATAATTGCTTCCTTTGTAACCCAATATATTTTATTTTATGCACTTAAAAATATTGTTCTGTGAAGGAGTCCATAGGGTACGCCAGACTGCTACAGGGGTCTGTGGCACAAAAAAAGTTAAAAACCCTTGGGATAGACAGACTCCAGCTTTAGAATCATAATTCCCAAATTTTGGTGAGTAATTCTATTTTGGTTTATTGCCTACATTCATAATGTAGTAAGTGGAAGGAAGTGCATGCTAAACAGATAGCATAGGAAGGGAAATAAAAAAGCAGCTGCAGAGTAAGCAGTTGGAAAACATATTTGTAATTTTTTGAACTGAGTTCTATTTTTAGATTTAAAGGAAATCACTAATAGAAATGATCATAATAATAGCTAACATTTTGAGTGCTTACTTTATGCATGTCTATTCTACATGTATTAATTGCTTTAATCCTTGCAATAATCCCATAAGGAAGTTATTATTAAATGAAATAGGTTCTACATTGGAATCTTACTAATTATCTCAAATAGGTCATCAAAAGGAGTCAACTCTTGAATCAGTCCTTAGCCTTCCTGTTATAAAATGGGAACACTAGCCTTCTTCTATGTATACATTGTACCACGATGATGGGTAATAAAAAGGTAACTGAGAAGAGCTCTGGGTACCTAAAAAATGTGGGCACATGATCCTGACCATAAACAGGTTGTCTAGGCTACCTAGTGCACCTATTTTGTAATAATCTGCACTTATGTATTCAATTAAAGTCAATTAAAGGGAATTTGGCTCTTTGATTTTGAATTGAGTGGTTTAGTTTCAGATGTTTACCAGAATGCTTTGGAATGGTCATTTTTCATGTGGCTCACGATTCATTCCTTCACTCACTCGACAAACACTCCCAGAGTGAGCCCATACACTCACGGGAGCACTTTTGCTGGGTGACTCTTGCATACACAGTAGGTTAATAACACAGATTTACCCTTCACATCATTTAAAATCTTCCACACAAAAAATAATGTACGATCACTCTGTTAATCACAACTAAGCACAAATGCTGAGTACTGAATGCCCCGCGTCTGTCAGAGAATTGACTCTCAAATCTGCAGTGTTGATTCCCTTGTAGCTGCCTGGCTTTTAATGAAGTAACCAGGGCAACGTCCACATCTCAAAGAGTGTGGAAGACGCAAAGGTTTACAATGTTTGACTTGCCTCCTTCTGCAGATCCAAACCCAACATACAACTGTGATGACCACCAGGAGAAGAAGGGGAATGCTGGGAATTAGGATGTAGGCAAGATTCAAGGCACCTTCTGAAAAGAAAAAAGCACATTATCAGCATCAGTGATCCTTTCTGTGCTTCAAACCAGGCTTAAAAAGGCATAATCAAAACAGAGTATTCCAAAGAGCACATTCCTAGAAGGAAACAGAGGCATTGTTGCCCGGTTAGCAGAGTCTTCTAGTTTCATTTAGCAGGCATCTTCTGCCTGTCTTACTACTCTAAGTAATAATGAAAACGTTTCAATTTTTGGGTCTCTTGCAAATATTGGAAGGGCACTTTTGCTAATGAAAAAAAATTTTTTTTCAGAGAAAAGAGATTCCCTCTTTCCTTGTCTTTCTTCTCTCTCTCTCTCTCTTTTTTTTTTTTTTGTCTTTTTTGTGACCGGTAAGGGGATCGCAACCCTTGGTGTGGTGTCGCCCACACCGGGCTCAGCCAGCAGCGCACTGGCCACGGCGGGAGCGTCGCTGCGCTCCCAGCGCCGCACTCTCCCGGGTGCGCCACGGGGCCGGCCCTCTTTCTTCTCTCTTAGCAAAGCAGGGGCTATTTGGGCAGTATTGATGCTTTGGCCTCTCAGGACAGCCATAGGTGTTCCTCAAGAGGAAGGGAGGAGAGTGAGGGAAAAGAAGCAAGCCAGGAGTCTCAGTGTCACTACCAGGAAAGAGAAGGTCACACGAAGCACATGAATTAGACTGTAAAACCTTCCCAACATTTCTGACTAAGACCAACTGGATTTATTGGCTCCACCAGAAGTGACTGTGAAGGGCACTCAGAGGTATGATTTTCTGAACTTTCTAGTCCTTCAAGACTTAGAAACAGGGATGTTCCCCTTAAGGGGATTTGGGAGGAATTAAGGATTGGAGACTAATACCCTTCCTACTCCCACTGATCCAAGATTCCTGACCATCCAGAGGCTGTTGCTTTTTTTTTTCTATGAGGCTGCAAACCTGGCAACCATCCACAAACCAACCCCCAAACCCACCTTAAATACCACCATAACGATGGGCAATAGAAATGCCTCCCACCTTTGCACAGGACTCTGAACTGTTTTCAAAGCATTTTCACACATTATATCTGTTGCATAGTAAAGAGTTTGACTAACCTTCGTCCCTAGTTCCTGGGAGGGAGGCTCTAAATCATTGGGATGTCCCAAGTAACAGGAGTGACTTTGTTATTCATGACTCCTCAGAACATATCAGAGTTTATCATAAGGAGATGTCTCAGGATGGGGGCTAGCCACCCCAGAAAAACAGACCAGGTGGTTATAGGGTTGGGGCTTTGAGCCAGGTGATACTAGCCTCACCTCCTCTGGAGACTGAGTTCTACCACATGGCCAATGATCAAATCAATCATGCCTACATCATGAAACCCCAGTAAAAGCTCTGGACACCAAAGCTCAGTGGAGCTACCCAGTTGGTAAACACATGCTTGTGCCATGAGGATGATGATACATCCCAATTCCACAGAGGCAGGACATGAAATTTCCCCATTTGAAACCTTCCCAAGACTTCGCTCTATGCATCTCTTCATTTGGCTTTTCCTGATTTGTATCCTGTATAATAAAATGTAACCATAAGTATAGTGTTTTCCTAAGTTCTGTGAATTGTTCTAGTGAATTATTGAACCTGAGGAGGGTCATGGGCACCCCTGATTTGTAGCCAATTGGCCTGGGGACCTCCAAACTTGCAGCTGATGTCTGAAAGAAACTAGGGCAGTCTTGTGGATTGTGCCCTTAAGCTGTGGGATCCCTGCTACCTATAGTGGCTAGTGTCAGAAATGAATGGTGGTATCGCAATATCCTATTTCATTTTTTAAAAAGTTTATTTATTTATTAATATTTTTTTTTTACTTCTAAGATGATGTAGTGGAGCAGTTGGGGAAGGGGAGAGGGGAAGGGGGAAGGAAATAGGGTGGGAGAAGGAGGAAGGAGGGAGGGCATGGTTGAGGCCTGTGGCACCCCCCTCATTCCTGCAGGGGAGACCAGGGGGCTTCCAGCAGTGGTTTGGTTGTTACTGGGCTGATTGCAGATGTCAGGGGGGTGTGGCTGAAGCCCTTAGCCCCTAATATCCTATTTCATTTTATGGACACAATAATGCTCTGAGGCAGGTAAGAAAAACAGCATTACTTCCATTATGTAAATGATTAAACTGAAAACAGAGGAGTTAAGTGTTTTTTAAAGTTGCCCAGTACCAAAAATCCAGATTTCCCGGTTGAATCTCAGGGTGTGCGGTTGAAAGTCCATTAGCACTCCAGTTTATCACCCCATTTTCTTTTACCTTTTATGATCTAACTTTTAAAATGTTTTCATCCATTTCCTCTGTTTTGCAGATGAGTGTTATTCACGCATATTACACATCACAAATTGGGTCCTTCTGCTCTTATTTCTCTACATCCCTTCTCTCAGTACCTACCCCAACCCCCCAAGACTTTTGGGTGGTTCCCAAGGCTCTGTCTTCATGCAGATTTTTCACCCCCTGTCTAGTCTGATCTCCCTAATTGTCATAGGATAGCTCCATTTGCATATTTTACTGATGAAACTCAGCGTTTAATACAGTTTTTTTGCAAAGCCACAGATCCATTTTTAAGTAGCTGTGGGAGAGAACAAATAGGGACTGCACCCATGGGTAATCTGTGAACAAGGGAATCCCTTTACCTATTTTTCCCAGGAGAGTGCTGTACATACCTTTATTTTCTTTAAATGTTTCTTTGGCCTCTTCTTCCTGTGTTTCTTCTGGAAGCATGGGTGTTGCTGGCTCTGTCCATTCACCTGGAGAGAGACACATGGACTTGAGAACTTGGAGAAAGGCCACATCGTCCAGGTATTCTCTGACGTCCTTCCACATTCAAAGTTGGATGCAAAAAAACAGTAGCGATTTGACCAGTGACATTTATAAACAGAAAAGTAAAAGACTGAATTATCTACCCTAGAGGTTTGTCTTCATCTTTTTGGTGAGACCCTTGTTGCCAAGGATCAGGTACCGAAACAACTCACAAGCATCCAGCGTGGACATAAAGTACTGAGGTGCCAAGGGGAAGGGCCAATGACTCACTTCTAAGACCATAAATTACCAATTTGACTCATTTCTTGCCTCATTAGATTAAATTATTCCTTTCATATTGTTGATAACGACAAGTAACATCCAAAACTGAATTTGGAACTGTTGCTTTTTGACTTTGAGAGAAATAGACAACACTTGGGAGTGAGATGGATGGACTTGTTATCAAGGCTGGGTGTGGTGTATACCTGTCCAGATGGTCTGAGTTAACACCAGGGTCCTTCTGTTGAATAATCTGGTCTAAAGGACACATGGTTCTAAACTTATGAAGGGTTGCTGAGAAACAGCCCAAATTAACCAAATCTCAAATGACCAGCTTACCTCCAGGCCGGGTAGAAGGAGCTGTTGGTTTCTCTGTAGCAAAAGAAACAAAAACAAAAATAATAACTAAATTTTTATGCCATCTGAGTTAAATTGGCTAGAGCATGGCATCCATTTATTTGCTTGTTCAGTCATCCAATAAACTTTATTTATTGTTACCAGATTAGCTGTTGTTACCAGATATCAGAAACTAGGTCAGTAAATCCAAAGAATTGCTCCTGCACAAAGACTAGTCTTTCCCCAGCTTCACTTTGGTGCTCTTTTTAAAGTTTCCTTTTTTTTTTTGTCTTTTTTGTCTTTTTCCATGTCCAGCAACGGATCGCAACCCTCAGTGTCGCCCCCGTACCGGACCGGGGACCGGCAACGGGATCGCAACCCTCGGTGCCGCTCCCACGCCTTGCTCAGCCAGTGAGCAGGAACTGGTCTGTATGTGGGATCCGAACCCTCGGGCGGGAGCGCCGCCGCACTTCCCAAGCGGCGCACTATCCAGTGCGCCACCGGGCCGGCCCCTAAAGTTTACTTTTTAAAAAGTATTTTAAAACTCTTATATAAGAGAATTTCCAAATATGCACAAAAGTAGAAAGACTGGTATAAGGAACCCCTATGTACCACACACAGCTTCAACTCTTACCAATGTGTAGCTAATCTAGTTTGAACAATAATCCTTATTCCTCTCCCATGACACTCCCAGCCTGGATTATTTTAAAGCGATCCAAGATGTTTTATCAACTCATACTGGGGATGCTTTACAAAGCAATAAACACTGATATCCAAGCAGTGGAAGCAGTTTAGGGGCTAAGTAGACCACTGGCCAGCCTCAAGACACAGACTGAGGGTCTAGAACTCTGAGTTATTTAAAAATATTTCAAAGAGCCTCAGGAAAGTCAGGTTGCAGACAATCTACATCAAATGTTTTTGCTTTTGATTGGGAGTGTACCTCTTGTATTGGCAGCAAGTCTCTTATGCTAATCAGATGCTCTGGGGTTCCTAGGGACAGGGTTCCAGGGACAGGGTTCCTCTTACGGGCAAGAGTTTAGAAATCACAGTCTTAAGGCCAGGATGTCAAGCCTATTCTGAAGTTTCATTCAGAAAGGACAGAAACTTTTTAATGATCTTCCCACAAGTGTGTGCATATAGAGGTGATGCAAATCCATTTATTTATTAAAACAAAACAAACAAAAAACCCAAAGTACTTATATGGTGCCTACCATATGAATGAAACTGTCCTAAGTATTTTATAAAACAAACTCAATTAATCCTGATAACAGCCTCATAGGTAGCCTTATTATTACTCTGGATTTGTATATGAGGAAACCAAGATAAAGGGAGATTAAGGAATTTGCCAAATCTCACAGCTAATAAGTAGCTGAACTGGGATTTCAACCAAATAAATTCAAATAAAAATTAAAATAACAAGGAGACAGACAAAAATAGTAAGGAGACAACTGTGTGAGGTAGTGGAGATACAAGAGCAAATGAGAAATAATTCTGGCCCTGTAAGGAGTTTGTATTCTACAGCATGGCCATAAAATCTGGAAATAGAGGAGAATATTAATTAATATTAATTTTGTGATATTACATTGAGATGCATACTATACTCAATGACATTACATGATCTATTCATAGTATTGTCTCTCTCTAGTTCACTCTATTGTGCAAAATCACAATAAACATGGCACATCAATGCAGCATTTCCACAAATCCCTGCACATGCACCTGCAATCCCTCAGATGATTTGTCTTTGATTTTCCCTGAATATGCCTGTGCCTTTAGCATACCCCAGAAGTAATTAAGTGCTCAGATCTGGCTAGCATGCTGCCTACTCTACATGGCCATGTTCTCAAAACTAGTTTTAGATACTGTCATTCATCCAGTCTCTCGCCACTCTGGGCTCATGGAATGGATGTACAATCCTGTTGGAACCACATGTGTGATCTTCCCATGGCCCATCAGTGGTTAAACATGTATGTTTCCAGACTTCATGCCAACTATGTAATGAAGGGGACAAACTTGTAAATAGGTAGTTAAAGTACTGTGTGTGTGGTGCTATGATCCTCATAGGAGGAACACCTAACCTAGTTCTGAAGGGCCCTGGAAGGGTTTCCAAAGGAAGTTATTTTTTTAAGTTATTTTGAAATCATTTCTGATTTATGAAAATTTGCAAGAATAGTACAAAGAATTCTTATATATCCTTCACCTTGTCATTTTACCACATTTCGTTTACTTAATTATTCTGTCTCTCTTTATCTATCTATCCATCCGTCCATCCATCTGTGTATCTATACACATATATGTGTGTATATATGCATAAATACATACATAACTTTTTTCTTGAGAGTAAGTTGCAGACATGGTGCCCCTTTATTCCTAAACACTTCAATCTATATTTCAAAAGGGAAGGGGTGTTCTCTTACATGAACACAGTATGACTATCAAAACCAAGAAATTAACATTGATATAATACTATTATCTAATCTATCAAATCCTGCCAATTCTCCCAATAATGTTCTTTATAAAAAATCATCATCATCATCATCATTGTCACCACGATCATCATCATGGTCTCAGATCCAATCCAGGATCACCTGTTGCAACTAGTTTCTATGAGAGAAGGTGATGTTTAACTTGAACCTGAAGGGTGAGAATGAGTAGACGAGGAAAGGGGGATGGGCGTTCTAAGCACAGGAAACAGCAAATTAAGAGCTGCTGGGGAACTGCATTGGGTGCAAAGGTA